TACATGAAAATGCAGGACTAATATCAATGACATGGCAGCAGATGAGTCATAAACCCCTGCTGAAGATAGAAAATAGTGGGGGGGAACTCGGCAGCTCAATCTCCGTTGTCTTTAGGGTAGCCAAAATCATTTTATCCTGTCTGTTGGTGCGCATGCAAATGGAAACATTCCCTCTCCTTAAAATTCTTTGTATGTGCACATACTGTTCATCACTAAAATTATCAGTGCAGGGGCTGTGCTTTGACAAGGTTCTTGGGAGCTCACCAATGCAGGGCCACATCAGTGGATGGACACAATACTGAAGACATCCCAGTGCATAATTTTCTGAAGGGAACTGTGGGTCTGACACCCTGTAAATGGAATTACCTTATATAAACTCTGTTTGTAGAACATAACCTGCGAATGCATTGCAATCTGAGAGCCCGAGACTTAAAGTGTGTATATTGGTCCGATAAACAGCATCACGTTAGATCTGTTTTCTGCTCCTGCTCGATGCAGAACACGGATGCTGCCGAGAAACAGGAAAGGACATGCGTTTGTTTTCAGGCACAGGACTTCGCAACCACTTGGGAAGAATATTCTTGATTGAGAACCAAAACATTCCATGGTGCTTAACAAACCTGCAAATTGAAAAATCAACATCTGCCCTGTGTAGCAACATATCAGGAGAAGGACCTGTAGCCTGAAAAATTAAAAATACTCCTTAAATTAGGTTTCAGTGCATTTGTAAAATTACTACTCTCTGAATCAAGGCTCAGGCAGTTTTTATATGACAGCATAGATTGTGTTGATAGACAAAATCTCAGCCTGCACGTGCCCATGGAATCTGGTGGGTAGCGGGATGGACAGCGCTTCAAACACAGAGCTGCATCCACTGAGCGCTCCTACAGCAGGATTATAAAGCATTAAATCACTGAGGACAGCGAACCCCTCACTTGTCAGAACTCCTGCAGTCCCAGTTCCTGTTATTTGAATACTGGAGTTTTCACCCCAGCAGCCAATGGGAGTGGGTGCAGCACAGTCCATGATCAGACAGAGGCAGGCACTACGTGGAGGGACCAGGCAGGATCCCTGGATCATGCACTGGCTGGAATTCTGCCTGCTTGCTCAAGGCTGCCTGGGATTTTTTTTTTTTTTTTTTTTTGCTGTTTCCCTTATTTACATATCACAAGACATGTCTTTATAAAGTTACTTTAATAATTCATTAGATTGATCTTCTCAGAAATCTGCTCGGGGTAAGGTGTCATTAGGAAAAGTTATTTAAACTTATTTAAAGGTTTGTGCCTGAGTAGGGCATTTACCTGCCTCACTGCTGATGTTCTAAAAATACCTCCATGTCCATACTATTATCCATTCTTCACGTCCAATTGCTCTGTTATGGTAATAGTCAGAAGCACACCATGTAGTAATTACTTACAGCTGACTTAAGAAAAGAATATTCAACTCCCCCACTGTTCCACTAGAAGGTCTTTATGCACTATTAACTCATTCCTGTTTATTAATACTCTACTGGTAATTCTGGCTGCTGCTTTTTAGGTTTGTAATAGGAGGACTATTAAACAGCAATTATTGACCATATGGGTTAGTGAATATTTGTGGTGGTTGTTGGGTGGTTGTTTTCTTGTGGGTTTTTTATTTTTTTTTTAATCCTTTTTAAGTTGTTTTTAAGGAGCCACATCACGATATAGTGGTGCAGCTTTACATCTGCCTGGGATTAGCAGCTTTGGCAGCATTCCCCACCTAGAAAATGCAAATTCCATATTTCAGAAATATCAGCTGAAGCTGTGAAAATACAGAGCCGTTTAAAAAACATGAAAACACTGTGCCAGACAAAGTGAAAATCTTTGTCTTTTGTTTTTTTCTTTTTCCCAGCAGTATTGTAATAGTTTTGATCTCCCTTTTTTTTTTTTTTTTTGGTCTGTCTTTCTTTCTGTTTCTCTTTCTTTGACACCCCCCATTTTTTAGGTCTTATCCTAGAATTTGGAAAGGGTCAGGTGTAAATTTCAAACTAATCCAACTTCTTCTAGAAAAGTGTGAATTATAGCACTTTCAAGATCTAGAAATCTATCTTGCCTAGAGAGGAGACTGAGGACAGACAAAATTACAGCAATTATCTCTCAAATAGCTGGGCTGAAAACATGATGCCTTCCCCTCTTTCCTCTTCTACCTTTTTTTTTTTTTTTTTTCCTTTTTTTTGGCCTTTTTTTAAATCATCTTCAAATCCAGTGCAGTTCCTGCCTCTAGCTTTGTGGATTTGCAGCAAGGATTCCTTTTCCCACTGCTCTGCCCTGGGAAGGCCAAACCAACTCAGAGTTTTGGCATCTGCTTCCATTCTGGTGAGAAAATCAAAGACTTGACTAGGGAAAATTGGGGAGCAAAGAGAAAGTGTAAACAGAATTGTGGGGTGTGGCATAGGAGAAGGATAATTTGGTAGGTGAGTTGATTTTAATACAAAAGTACTGGGCTATGAGCAAATAGTTTGCAGAATGTGTTCGCATTTCTGAGTTCTCTTTGGGATTGTCTCCAACACTGCTGAAGAAAAGTCAAACTTTGAAAACCAATTACTGACACAGCCTTTTTCTAGAATTGTCTTAACACTTTAATACTATTCTTACAGTTCCTTAGTGCTCCTACTTGTGTGTGTTTGACTTGGATTCTGAGCCTCAGCTCTGCTGGTTGTTCCTCGGAGCTGGTGACCAGTAACAACAGCATTTACACACGACTGTGGGCACAGTTGTTTCTGATCATTGCAGCATTAAAAAAATCTCTGCAATACTAAAACAACTAACGTCAAAACCAATTAATTTGAAATCAGCTACTTTATTGCCAGCTAAACACTCAACACTGTTGTTTCTTTTCCCCCCTTCCTTTTCTCTTTTGCTTGTAAGTTGAAATCCTTTCTTGGACTAAACCCCAACTCCTGTGTGATGTGCCACACCAAAAGCAGTCCCTCCTTCAACAATTATTGCTTGGAAGGTGCATATTTTTTTTCACAAAAGCATCAGGTCCTGAGTGTTGCAGAGACTTTTTTTTTCCCAGATGGCAAAACTAAGAGAGGGAGAACCGAAGGGATGTGGCCTTAGTAGCAAAACATGGGACTGGTGGAAGGTGGGAAGTCCTCTCTCGTGGACTTTACCCCTGCCTTGCCTGAAATGGCTGCACGGCACTGGTAGGGATCTGCAGAGTGACATTAGACAAGGGACTGAAGGTATAAAAAGGTGACATTGATTTTACTGCTTAGAAATATGGGCTAGTTAATTTTCCTTACGTGCCCGGCATCTCTGCCATGGGGCTGGATTTTATTTTTCCTTACATAATTTGTTATTTAAAAATGTTGTTTAAGCTGGAGGTGTCATTTCAAGTTTGGAATAAACGACTGGCTGGGAATCCTGAGTGAGGTGGCCCCTGGTGCAGGGCAGGGCTGCAGTGGGTCTGTGAGTAGGGGCCACAGGCAGAATTTACATCCCATTGATGTCACAGCTGCCACAGCTGCTGGGCTCGACAGCTCTGTTGAACATCAGAGATGTGTGAAGAAGAGCCTTACCTCTGAACCCCTAAAAGGGAGCTGGGTTTGCATCAGCTGAGTGGCTTGAATCTCTCATCTCTGATTTAAACCTGCCTTGGAACAGTCAATTATATTCTAGGGAGAGAATGTTCTGAAGTTTTATTCTTACAATATAAAATAACAGGTTAAGACTGCCTGTGCTGCTGGTGTGTGGCTTAGTCAGGCTGGTAAATTAGTAGAGCATGATATTCTTTGAGAAGCTGGAGTGTAGGAGCAATCCCTGAACATGCTTTAAGAAAAATGTTGTGCGAGTGATTCAGCTCTCCTCGCTGTTGCAGGGAAGAGATTAGAGGTGCACCACTTTGTCAGTTCATCTCCTTAACTCATAATATATTATTTATTACAAGGATTTGGTTTCCTAAGCCTACCTTCTTTTTTTCTCTTAAGATACCACTGACTATTTGATCTTGAGGGCTTAGTTTTTATTATGATGATTATTATTATTATGTACAGGTATGTGGGGAGGGAAGGACTTTGAGCAACAGCCAAAGCCTTTAAAAAGCTTTTTAACACATGGACTGTTTGTGTTTTCATCTTGTTTTGGCACTTTTTGCAGCTTGTGCTGATGGTGTGATTGTGGTTGTTTCAAGTACATCTGGGGTCCCCTGTAGCCTTTATTTAAGGGGTTTTCTGACTCTCTTAGAATTTGTTTCTCCTTTTTCTGGTATAACCAAGCCTGAGCTGTCAGTGTAAGATGTAAACTGCTGGGCCTGGATGATAATGATTCTGCCTAACCTAAAACCCAGGGTAAGGCAGGCTTGTTGTGCTGCCCCTGCCTTGTGTCACATGTGTGGACACACCTCTGGGATCCAGCTTTTATCTTAAGGGCATATCCAAATAAGATTTTGTACGAAAATGGGAACTCCAGTGACATCTGGCAGAGGAGCAAAACCACTGTAAGATGAACTGGTCTTCTCCAGCAGGCGGCTTATCAAAAATCAACCCCTTTTTTATTAAAAAAAAAAAAAGTGATGTGTTTTTTCTTTTTTTTTTTTTTTTTTTTAAGCAAACCTAAGCCCAAAAAACACATTAAACTATTAACATTTAACCTTATTCAGACTAGCCAAAGTATTTTCACAGGGAGCAGGTGCATTCTTGGCACAGCTGGTGTTGCATGGTGGATTTTTCCATTTGTCAAATGTTCAGAAGAAGCCTTTCATTTAAAAGGAAGGGAGGAAGTCTCGTACAAGTGACTTGTATGGGCTAAAATAAAAAAGTAAACTAGGCAGGAATAAACTCGCTGTGTGGGTTGCAAACTGAAAGAAAAACTATCCTGACTTGGTTCAGTTCCTGAAAGGGTGATCTGAGAATGTTTGATTAAAAGAGCTGGACTGTCTCATCAGCTGAGCTGGACATAGGAAGGGATAAAGAATGTTAACTGAAGGTGTAGCAGTGTGATATATCCCTGCTTTTCCTGACTCTGCCCCTCTCTCAGCAGGCAGTCGATGAGAACAGAAGAAGGAGCAGACGATGGCACCAAACACTGCCCTGGAGCTGTGCCTGGTGCAAACAGCATCCCGTGTGGAGAAGCAGATCGTGCTCCTGCAAAGTGTAAGTGCCTGCTCTGGTACATTCCTTCACAAAGAAACCCCACAACTACAAATAAACCCCCTCTGTCTGTCTGAGCTGGAAATTTGGGGAAATTCCTTCCTAAATGTTGTTTTGAGATCAGAGAGAAATACCTGCTTTGTAACTTGCTCTGGTCATTCAACACCTGCCCTTCCTTGCCTGTCTGCCATTCCACCCTTTTGTCCTTCCTCGCACTGACTGAAACGTTTTGGGCTCACTTTGTGTAAGTTCTGATAAATCTTTTGTAATAGATTTTTGAGTTTTGCAGCTTAACGATATCAAATCCTTCCTGAGATTTATTGTCAGCTGCACTTGACCTGGGGATCAGAACTGAGAACGTTTGATGGAATTTGTTGCAGAATCAGGGAATGCTGTGAAAGTTGCTATTTTTGGTTTCTGTTTTGCTGTACCTAGAGACTACAGATTTTAAAAAAAGTGAAATGATAAACAGTGTTTTCTTGGGCGTTCAAAACATGATGAGTGTGTGTGTTTCATGAACTTTGGCTTCTGGACAAGCTGATTTGTATTGTTCCTGATGGGAGTGGTGCAGAGACATCCAAGCTTTTAGAATTTTAGAATTCCTTAAAAAAACCCAAACCACCACCACCACCACCTCCCAGTGAAGGTGTAGACTGACACAGTGGGAATTTAAGCCCTTGGGAATCAGTTTGCTTTTCCCAGTTGCCTTCCACGGTTCCCAGACCCTTCCAGCCTTGCTGGAGACACCGCTCTGTACAACCAAACACTGCGATGGCAGGGTTGGAGCTGGTGTGGAGCAGGTATTTACAGGAGATGGGACTGGTGTGGGGTAAACCACAGAGTGGCTTTGTTGGCTTCCTTCTGCAGGGTTCTTGGTGTGTCCCACCACTCCAGCTCAGTGGCAGAGGCAGCCCCATGGCAGGGGGTGGGAGAGGAGCAGTCTCAGAAAATGGCATTTCATCCAAATAGGGCCCAGAAGAAATGAAGTTTAGCAAAGAAAACAAGTTTCATCAGTTAAGGCAATAAAGCACAGTCCCAGAGCAAGTCAATAATGCTCAATTGACAGCCAGTCAATATTTGTACTGGATTAACTTTTCAAGGAATGTGGAGATTTCGGTGGGTTTTATGTAAACACTGTAAATAGGTTGGGACACTAAAGCACGGTTACAAATACCGCGTGTCAGATCAGATTAGAATCACTTCCAGGGAGCAGGAGTTTTCCTACCACGAAAGAGACATTTATATCTTGTGAAATGAGCACAGGTATAAATTTTTTGTTTGTCAAATACATTCCAAAATGCAGCTGGGCAGATCTCGTGGCAGTGCTGCTCACAACACTCCAAAGGACGGCTTCGTCCCTCACCTTCTGTGCTGCTTCCAAGCCGTGCCAGGTAGGGCTGTAATTCGGGTGTCAGTGCTGTACAAATGAATTTAAATGTTGAGCTGGGTACAATGGGAAGAGCTGTTAGGGAATATTCAGCATTTATCACACTTGTTCTTTGCTGAGGACCCGGTCACTGTGCACAGAGATGGGAGCAAGCAGCACTAGTGAAGTCCACGTAGGTAACACGCCACCAAGAATCCCTCTTGCTGGAAAATAGATCACTGCATTTTATTGTTCTTTCTTTTATTTCTCCTGCCCTTTTTCTTTTTTTTTTTTCCCCTTAGAAAAGGTAATTAGGCCATAAACAGAGGTCTGACAACTAATTTCATCTGCAACAAAATTAATATCATAAGCAACAGATAATTTTAGCTGAGCAAAATTAAAAAAGATATATTTTAATGCCATTTTAAACCCACAAAATCTAATTTTTTTTCCCTTCTGAACTTCTCATACCTGGCTATTTTGATATGTGTGGAGATGCTCACTCATTTAGTGAACAAATGTTTTACCTCTGTACAGTTCCTGTCTCACCAACAGGCCTTGCTGGTGTTGGCCTGAGGTACGAAGTTGCTTTTAATTTCCTCTCTCTTGTTCTCTGGTTCCTTTCAAAGAAGAAATGATCTGAGGGAAAAGACATTGCTTTTCTTACCTCTAAATTTTCATTGACATTAATAGGAGGCAGGTGGCCAAATCCCTGCACACAGCTTTGAAAATTTAAGGTTTAACTTTTTTTTTTTTTTTTTTTTTTCTTTCCCTGGGCTGATTCTTACGTTACTGGAGTTGTGAATCCTCTGAAAAGATATTAAATGTGCAACCATACCATGTCAGCAGTGCCTACAGAGTTTATCTACAAAATTATCGTCTACCTTCCAAATCTATAACCCTAAAATATTGATTGGTTAAAAGGTAGTGGGTAAAGATTAAGGCAGCACAGCAGCAGATTACCCTAATCAAATAAAAAGACTATTAACAGAGCTGCTCACAGTTCTGAAGATGTTGGTTTGAAATACAGATGTCTTAAGCAAAGTGCTATGTCTCATTTTCTGAATGCATTTTTGAATGCATTTAAATAAATTACCAAATAGAAAGGAAGCAGAGAAAAACTCCACGCGCTCCAGACAGTAAATTTCCATTTATAATAAAATTATTTCGTGCATTTCAGCACGCGGTTGGAACTTTTAAAGATCTTTTTCGTTGGATAGTGAGGAGTCAAGCACTGGGTTCTCAGCTTGGAGAGCTCTGTAGGCACACGTGTGATTTGTAAACCTGTAGCTGAGTGTGGGACGTGAGTGTGTGTGGTGAGAGGCAGGAGCGGGGTCCTTGTGCAAAGCCAGTCCTTCTGCTTACAGAGAGATGGTGTGCAGCCTGTGTTTTATGCTTTGGGAACAATGTTTGGAGATGATGGATTTTAGATGCCAGACTTTGAGGCAGTATTTGCTGCAAACCAAGGGCTGTTTGGTTTCCTCGGGGCAGAGTGAGGTGATGTGTAGGGGCCTGCAGAGGTACCAGGTGTCTTCTCTCTTGGTCTGCTCCAACCCAGCATCCCAGATCACATCCCCAGCCCCTTCATTTCACTTGGAGCCCTGGGATCCTTTGGAAAATTATCCCTGCTTGAAACCAGCACAGGTTCCGCCCGTTTTGAATTTGTCACAAACCTCTTATTTAGCATCGAAGGCCATACGGTTATTAATGCTCAGGAGGAGTAAAGTAGCGGGAATATTGCCTGGGAAAGAGTGGCATTTGTCACTAATGCTTTTAAGGTACAGTAGGAATTTTTATCCAGCCAAAGGCTGAGTTGTGGTTTATCCTCTTGAAAGACTTTCCCATTGAGTGACGGCTAAGCAGGGATTGAGCTAATAACCCATGCCCTGGGTTATTGGAGTCACAGAGACAGAAAGGCAAAATAGGGCGGGTAATGTATTAATTTTCATCAGTTATGGACAATACTATTAAATTACTGACTCTTGTTGAAATAACGTGTCACCGATTAATAATGTCATTTCAACTTCCTCAACTTTCCCTACCTAAAAATTTTAATTTGAAAAGAAAAAAAGATTTAAGAACGTGTGAAAAGGGTTTTGGTGCTGTCACTCCTCAGAGGGGAGGTCTTTTGTTTTTGTTTTAAGTCCCACCTAATTTTAAGTTGCGGCGCAAATGAGGTTTTAAAAGTTTTTAACAGTGATGTGGATAAATTTGGAATTAAAATTGAGATCTGAAATGTTGTGTTGCTCCACTTTTAAAAATAAGTTCCCTTCTCATTTGCAAATAAAATGTTTAGAATCTGCATAAAATGTGTGAAATTAGAGATAATTGAAATACAGTAGCTATAAATATGTCTACTCCATTTGAAAAATAAATAAAATGTCCACTAAAAGGGTGCGAAAGCCGTACCCCCTTCTCTTGTTTCTCACATTTGGCTCTCTGGCATTTTTCACACTTTTATAGCTAATTTTTATTGCAAAACAATATGCTACATTTGTAGCCGTTGTGGGAATGCAGAATAGCCCCTGGCAGCTCTGTAAAAACATGGAATGTTGGGAACACATTTGGAGGAACACAGCTTTCCATTTCATCCCCAGCATCGGTGTCGTGGAATCCTATTAAGTGTGATCCAACAAAAACAAAAGGGGGGGAAAAAAAGAAAAGTCAGTGTTAGGGAAAATACTTAAAATAAGCCATTATTTGAAGTGTTTTCATTCTACCCTCTTTCTTCTGTTTTCATAACATACCAAGTTGTCGTGATACCAAGCGGTGCCTCACACGCAAATTGTAAAGACACTTCTCTGACTTCAGCCCCGAAACTCAGACAAGTATTATTCATACGACACCCCGTGCAGCCTCTTTAGTGAAATTGCACTGTGATGTCCTGTCACTCCCAATGCCACGCAGTGTTTCTGTTACTGGGGAACACCAACTTCCAAAGGGCTGCTTCGGTGGAGGACTGCTCTGCATCCAACACAAACACCCACCACAACTGGATGTGATTCGCACAAAAGGGAATTGGGAGGCCTAGCTGGAGATTGCTGCCCTCTCTCATCAGCGCTCCCCATCCTGGCATATTATTTCTGGAACCCCTGTTTTCTGCAGGCATCCCTTGCAGAGGGGGTTATGCCAAAACTAAAGAGTTTCCGTGCTGGTTTTAGCCTGAGGGTAACTGGAATTCAGCAGGTTTTAATGTCCGTGGCTCCTTCAGTAGTTCCTCCCTCCTCCCTGTTGCAGGGGGTGTCACAAGGCATTTTGCTGTACCGTATTTTGGGCAGAGGTGGGCATGTGTACTGGACTCAGGTGCCTCACTTTCAGATCTTACATGATTCTCGATTTGGGGATCAGAATTACGAGGAGGAGACAGATTTCCAGGATGTATTTGAGGAGTGCTGAAATGTTAATGCATTAAGACTGAAACGGTGGGATTTAAATGGCTGCATTGAGTAGCAATAACAGTACAGAGGGATTGATCCCAGAAAAGTAGCAGAGAGGTTGTGTCTCATACAGGCCTAACCACTATGGAGTCATTCTTCAGAGACAGACCAAGCAACAGAAGAACCACAGCCTTACCTGCAAGGTGCCTTTTCATATGTGCTTTCTTCTCTCCTTTTAAGTTGTCCTCAAGGAAAAATAA